GAGTTCAATAGATTTAAGTTTTCTCTTTACAGCGAGGATATAATGTCTTAACTCGCGTTCCGAATATACAACAGGAAACTTGCTGCAGAGCACACCGAGATTCCTTATGGCTTCCTTCAGGCAGGTTATGTTATAACTTATTGGATCTAGGATGTTGGGATGTCTAAAAACGATTTGAAAAACACCCTCGCAAATCACATGCAGATCCTGGAGCCCTAACAGTGATTTACAAGTGCCTGACTTCGTGTCACAGTCTGACCAACAAGATTCGGAATTACCAACAAAACAGTCCAGATCGGATACACATTTTTTCTGCTTAAGAAGGGTTTGTAACAAGACATGAGGGTATGTCAGATCAAGGTCTATGAGTTTTACCGTTGATGTGTTGGTAATTCCATAATTTCCCAGATGTAAATCACATGACTGCGTCAAGCCATAAGGAGTTATTGACACGTCTAATGTTGCATCTAGAATTGAATATGCAAAGTCGAATTTTTCACTTCTACTAGTGGTGTGCACCTGAAAAAAGGTGCTTAACATGGGGTAATCTGTAATAGTAAGCAGATTGTCAAAAATGGCGCTAAAGTATAGGACACAAAGAGTTCCGGCATTTAAAAATCTTCCTAGGTTGTCATTAAACAAGTTTTGGAGCGGCTCAAATCCATCAGGAAGGAATGCAAGATCTACAAACTCCCAAGTGTCTGTAAACACGTTAGAGGCAACAAAAGGCACTTTTTCCACCACGTACAATCCACCACAATACCCATAAAAATCCACGGTGTGCTTGCTTTCATTTAAGGTCATCAGCATCATAGGTTCCATTTGTTGTAGTAATGAAATGAAAGTCCTGGCTTCGGCCGCTGTAACTGACCCATCACTGTTTCCATCGCCAAGTGACAGCAATCGAGATACGAGTTTCTTACATTGACTGCAATTGCCAAACAAGGTATTCACCCTGGAAGAGACGTCATTTTGATAAGATGACGCAACGTCACTATTCGTTATTTTCTGTCGTTCTTGAAACTCCTCGAACCAACTCATGTTGACTTTCAAGATAACGCTCTTCTCGTGCCATGTTCCGTCATAAATTTTCTTTTCAGGCACTGTTGTGAGACACTTCCCAAGATGAATGTTGTTCTGTTCACAAAGATCGGAGCACAGTGGTCCTGACACGTGACCTTCGTCATAAGCTGAGCACTGAAACAGTGACAAGGGCAAAAGTCAATTCAGCTAACGAACAAACGGGCGTCTTTTGTTGTAGCTTAAAACTAAAATTCCTGTTAGTTAAAAGTGATGATGTTGCACGATTTTAAATTTGACTATAATTC